GCCTGTTGCTCGCCGCCACCACCATCGCAGGCGACAAGACATTAAACCCTTTGAATAAATATCCTAATAATGACGTTTATTATTCCGATCCGCGCTGATGGATCTCGAGGGCGCTGCGGGAGATTCCGCGAAGCCTTTGGCGTTTTCTGTACAAAAAAAAAAAAAAAAACGAGAGAAGGAAAGAAAATCGCGGGATCTGATCTGCAGAGAAAAGTCCACGTGAAACCAGGGAAGGGGATCTTTCATTTCGCCCCAGGGGACGGCGAAGGAGCGGAGGGATTTTTCGGCGGCGGCAGTGCATCTTATCTCCGACGCCGCGCTCCATATGCAAAAGCCTTGGCGTTGGTCTCTTTTGTCAAAGTGGCAGCTTGGCTCGGCTGGATTTATGGCAGCGCGCCGAGCGGGCCGCGTTTTTACCGCCTAATGCATCTATTATTTAACATGCCTGTCTTTTAGTATCTATATTAAAAGTAACAAATTTATTACCGTGATAGATTCCGCCCGGCGGTCCTGTTACCTCCGACGCGCGAGGGAGAGTCCCTATATATTTCTGAGCGCCATTCTTCCAGGCACGCGGCATTTCCGGCCGTCTCCTTATATAAAGGAATTTGGAGCGTCTTAATGCAGGTCCTGCGCGGGTCGAATTCCCAACGATTTTTTAGAAGTTGTTTCGTTCTGTAATCCCGACGGTGCCGCCAATGATTTCGAAAATCGATCGTTTTTTTCCAGCATGCCCGATACACGGAATGGGGAGGAACCACGAAAATCGGCCGGTGCCATCGCCCCACTAACAGAGCGAAAATCGGCCGATTATTCTTGGGTCCGATTTTCAAATGAAAAGCGTTCAGAAATCGACCTGTGTGTGGCCAGTCTTAGACTCCATTTGCAACATGCAGGGAAAGCGCATGATTTGCGCACGTTCCCCGCAATGCACGAGTTCGAATGAAGCCTTGAAGTCATGTCAGATTCAGGCTCCATTCACAAGGATCCCCTTTGATCCTACCATTGAGTTCCTTGTTCAAGCACTTCCTGTTATAGGGTGACAACGCTTTTTCTCTGTGCTCTTAGGTTGTCACCCTGTCACACAGGCTTCCAATGGAGATGAAGTGGCCATTTCAACCTATCAAGGTTAAGGCACTTCCTGTTATAGGGTGACAACACTTCATCCCTGTTTCTTGATTATGCTCTTAAGTTGCCATCCAATCACATGCGCTTCCAATGGGGATGAAGTGGAAATTTCAACCCATTAAGGTTCTTGTTGAGGCACTTCCTGTTATAGGGTGACAACACTTTGTCCCTGTCTTCAAAGTGCTCTTAGGTTGTCACCCTGTCACACGGGTTTCCAATGGAGATGAAGTGGCCATTTCAACCCATTAAGGTTCTTGTTCAGGCACTTCCTGTTATAGGATGACAACGCTTTGCCCCTGTCTTCTAAGTGCTCTTAGGTTGTCACTCAATCACATGAGCTTCCAATGGAGATGAAGTGGCCATTTCAACCCAATAAGGTTCTTGTTCAGGTATTTCCTGTTATAGGGTGACAACGCTCCAACCCTGTTTCTTGATTGTGCTCTTAAGTTGCCACCCAATCACATGGGGATGATTATATGATTCCTGTTATAGGGTGACAATGCTGTGTCCCTGTCTTCTAAGTGCTCTTAGGTTGTCACCCTGTCACATGCGCTTCCAATTCTTAGGAGAATTGCTCCTTTCTCCTAAGTGCTCTTATGTTTTTTCCATGTCACAAGGGCTTCCAATTGACATGAAGTGGCCATTGCAACCTATTAAGGTTCTTGTTCAGGCACTTCCTGTTATAGGGTGACAACGCTGTGTCCCTGTCTTCTAAGTGCTCTTAGGTTGTCACCCTGTCACATGCGCTTCCAATTCTTAGGAGAATTGTTCCATTCTACTAAGTGCCCGTACATTTCCTCTCTGTCACATGGGCTTCCAATTGAGATGAAGTGGTGACAATGCTTTGTCCCTTTCTCCTAAATGCTTGTGCATTGTCACCCCATCACATGGGCTTCCAGTAGAGATGAAGTGGCCATTTCAGCCCACAGGCACTTCCTGTTAAAGGGTGACAACGCCCTGTCCCACTCTCCTAATTGTGCCCTTGAGTTATCATCCAGTCACATGGGCTTCCCATAGAGATGAAGTGGCCATTTCAACCCATTAAGGTTCTTGTTGAGGCACTTCCTGTTATAGGGTGACAACGCTTTGTCCCTGTCTTCTAAGTGCTCTTAGGTTGTCATCCTGTCACAGTGGGCTTCCAATGGAGAAGAAGTGGCCATTTCAACTCTTTAAGGTTTTTGTTCAGGCACTTCCTGTTTTAGGGTGACAACACTTTGTTCCTTTCTCCTAATTGTGCTCCCATATCGCCCCTTGATGGCTGTTAGAGGAACAGAAGTCCGTGGGATGCTCTGACTCCTAAATCACCCCCTTAAGGCCGATGGAGGAAAAAAGGGCCCCGGGATGCTCTGACTCCTACATCTCCCCCTGATGACCTTCAGAGGAACAGAGGGCTCCAGGATACTCTGACTCCTATATTGTCCCCTGAAGGCCATTGGAGGAACAGAGGGCCTGGGATGCTCTGATTCCTATATTGCCCCCTAATGGCTATTGGAGGAACAGACGGCCCAGGATGCTCTTACTCCTATATTGCCCCCTAATGGCCATTGGAGGAACAGAGGGTCCCGGGATGCTCTTACTCCTATATCGCCCCCTGATGGCCATTGGAGGAACAGAGGGTCCTGGGATGCTCTGAATCCTATATCGCCCCCTGATGGCCATCGGAGGAACAGAGGGTCCCGGGATGCTCTTACTCCTATATCGCCCCCTGATGGCCATCAGAGGAACAGAGGGTCCCGGATGCTTTTACTCCTATATCGCCCCTAATGGCCATTGGAGGAACAAAGGGTCCTGGGATGCTCTTACTCCTATATCGCCCCCTGATGGCCATCAGAGGAACAGAGGGTCCCGGGATGCTCTTACTCCTATATCGCCCCCTGATGGCCATCGGAGGAACAGAGGGCCCCGGGATGCTCTTACTCCTATATTGCCCCCTGATGGCCATTGGAGGAACAGACAGCCCTGGGATGCTCTTACTCCTATATCGCCCCCTGATGGCCATTGGAGGAACAGACAGCCCTGGGATGCTCTTACTCCTATATTGCCCCCTGATGGCCACTGGAGGAACAGACAGCCCCGGGATGCTCTTACTCCTATATCGCCCCCTGATGGCCATTGGAGGAACAGACAGCCCCGGGATGCTCTTACTCCTATATCGCCCCCTGATGGCCATTGGAGGAACAGACAGCCCTGGGATGTTCTTACTCCTATATTGCCCCCTGATGGTCATTGGAGGAATAGACAGCCCGGGATGCTCTTACTTCTATATCGCCCCCTGATGGCGATTGAAGGAACAAAGGGCCCCAGGATGCCCCGTCATCTGACTTTTGAATTCTTCTGCAGAACATTCCTGATTTGGGAATTGCTGACATTCCCTGAGCTCTATAAAAGTCAAGGAGCCTCATAAAACTGCAGCAAGATCAAAAAGGGGCGGTCCAGGAGAAGGATCCATTAAAGAGCACCTTTCTGCTGAAAAGAGCGCTTGCCACCATTCGGCGACCCCATGAGAACACAGCTGATCCGTCCACCATCCATCTCCGAAAAATGGAAGAACTTCACGCCTGCCGCCCTTTCCTTTATGAATTGTCCAGATGCGCGCTCGTGAATTCACAGGCTACAATGCCGGAGCGCAGATGCCGCGAGCTGAGCGCTGTGCGAATAAGGGAGGCTAAAGTGGTGTGACCCCATCTATTCACCGCTCCGGGCACGAGGGATCTGAGCTGGGAGCGTGTCGGGGGGTTGGGAAAAAAGACCATACAACGTGAACCTTTGTCTGCGTCCCCAACAAAGACAGAGGCCAATAAATCCATCTCGTCACTTGTCAGCATCTGCCCCACCCCCTGGTCATTACTGATTTTCTATAATCAATACCAAAAACTAACATGAATATCAATTAAAATGAATCTATGGATTGTTCTGTAGTCATCATTATTAATTAAATGCTTACATAAAATCTTTCTGTTTTTATTACATACCTTATTATAGAAACAGTGATGTCATCACTGGGTCTCTGTGCCTCTCTATACAATGCAGACAGATTGCAGCTGGTGGGAGGGGCCGGCAGGGTGTTTTCCTAAAAATATCACAGCCCCCTGCCTCAGTACTGCTCTCAAGAGCCCTCGGCTCTGATGCAAGCAGTGGGAGGAGTTATGCAAATATCAAAATACTTTGAAGGGTGGGTGTCAGACTAGAGGAGTGAGCGTTCATGGGCGGTCTGTGTTTACATAGGTAACACCCACATGTGATGCCACACCTCCATGATTGAAAGAGCTGAAATCGAATTATTGAAAGGAGCCGGAGACCGTCAGAGTAGAAAAGGGCTAGATGATGCTGGACCCTACCCAGGAAATGAGGCGGAGCTCTGTCTGACTGGCTGAAGCTTCTAATGCACATTGTAAGAAGCTCACAGTGTGCAGTGAAATCAGAGTAAGCATTTTCAGTCCAGGAGAGGAGTACGTGATGCCCTTTTCCCATCCAATCCATATGGAAGAAAAATATATTTGAAATACTACAATTTTGGCCGTATTCAATATATTTCAAAATATATTCCTTGTATGATCCCGGCTTGATTTTTTTTAATTTATTCCGTTATCTTTTTAGCAAAAAAAAAATAACCCAAATTAGTTTATAACCAAGAATTATAATTTAAAAAAAAATGTTTTACATTGTTATTTAACTTTTTTATATTATTTTTTTTTTTTAACATACTGTCACCCTAGCAGTACAGTGTCACCATAGTGACACTGTATTACTTGTGGGGGGTGATGAAAAAAAATGTTTTTCTTTTTTTACACTGATTGCTTTTACACCCATAAAGGCTGTAAAAGCAATCATTTCTCCTTCTCTCTGGCTGCATTCTTGCAGCCATTGAGAAATACTGTGTGAGCTGTGATTGGTCACAGCTTCTCACATGGTACAAGGCTGTTGTGAATGGCCCTGTTCCATGTGATCTCGATGATCATTCACAGATTTCACACGTAGTAAGCAATGATGTCAGAAGTGACATCTTGCTTACTACTCTTCATGTGATCACTGACTGGCCAATCAGTGATCACATGATCGGGGCCTCATACAGATCGGTGTTCCACTGTGTCCTCCGGACACAGCAGGCACTGGATCGCGGTGCCGTGCGCTCCCAGGGAGTGCACACAGGCTAAAATGGTGGGCACCAATTATGAACGGCAACCTGCACCTGCACTGCTCTCTTCTGGCCGTTTATATACATGGGTAGGGGCGGACTGACAACTCATGGGGCCCCCGGGCAATAGGGGATCATGGGGCCCCTGTGTCCTTGCCCACACTCAAAGCACACCCAAAAAAAGCCTATAAAAGGTACCAGGGGCATGTCATGGGGCCCCCTACTGACCCCGGGCCCTCGGGCAGTGCCCAACTGCTCGAATGGTCAGTCCGCCCCTGTACATGGGTACATGGGCCAGACGGGAAGTGGTTAAAGCCTCATGTTCCCATGATGAGATGTTCTTCACTTTTGTTTTTTTTTTTCTGAGGTGGCACACAAGGTCACAAAATCCCTATAAACAACCCGATAAAAGGTTTCAACGGAGGGGCCCTTTGATTTTGCCGGGTAAAAAGTGGATTTAGATCTAGACCTGTGTGAGTCTAAAGAGACGTGGAAATGTTGACTATCAGTATCACTTTCAGTCCATAACTCTTCCAAAAGGTCGATCAATTCTTGGTCACTTGAATGGGGTGCAGGATCACTCACCTGGAGGTTTTTTGGGACCAGGGGCGGACTGACCATTTGGGAACTCGGGCACTGCCTGAGGGCCCGGGGTCAGTAGGGGGCCCCATGAGATGCCCCTGGTACCTTTTTCATAGGCTTTTTTGAGTTTCACAGATTGATGTGAAAGGGGAACCCTTATAGGGGGTATGATGTAATGGGGGGCATCTGATGTGAAATAGGGACTCTGATGTGAAGGGGGGCTTCTGACATGAAAGGGGGGGCCCTGATGTGAAAGTGGGATGCTTATGAGGGGACTCTGTTGTAATCGGTGGGGGTTTCTGATGTGAAAGGGGAGTTCCTATGGAAGAGGGCTCTGGTGAAATGAGGGGCACTGATGTGGTAGGGGGCCCTGATGAAAAAGGGGGAGCTCTGATGAGAAAAGGGAAGTTCTAATGGGATGAGAGGTTTTTGTTGTGGAAGGGAGACCCTGATGTGAACGGGGTACTCTAATGGGGGGGGGGGCTCTGATGTGATGAGGTGACTGATGTGAAGGGGAGTTCTAATGTGATGAGGAGTTTTGGAGCTTCTGATGTAAAAGGGGGGCCCAGATGTGAAAGGGAGGATCTTATGGAAGGGGACTCCGATGTAATAGGGGACATCTGAAGTGGAATGGGGCCCTGATGGGAATTGGTGACCCTGATGCAGTGAGGGACCTTCGTGTGAAAGAGGGGGGCTCTAAAGTGATGGAGCGTATTTATTGACTCATTTTTTTGGCCCCCAAATATTTGTAAACTATGCACTGTGGCCCTCGTCATGAACAGATCAGAGCCCCCACCCCTCCATAATGGATAACTATAGGAGACATTGTAGCTACCTCTGGAGGTATGAGGTCCTTTCATAGAGCAGCTGAATGTGCTGTATACAAGCCATTGGCTTCTGTTCAGTAATTCGGGGCCCCTTTGTCTGCTCCATGTTGGGGGCAGAGCCCATTAACCTAAAGATGGCGTAACTCCATCCAAAGATGCTTTCCACTCCAGCACACAAGAATAGGACGACTCTCGCACCACTGCAACTCATCTTGGGAGTTTGTAAAAAGTCCTTCCCCCTCCCGTCCATTGCGCCTTTATAGCTGACCCTTTCACTGGTTGGATGTCCATGTGCTCCGTCCTTAATTAATAATTGAGTTTACTCAGACGAGTCTCCCAGGACAAAGCCTAGAAGCATTACTATGGAGCGGACAACGGTGTTTAAACTGAGAAAGTAGACTTGTACAATACGTTCGACCTGGTCTACTCAATAATGCATGGCTTGCTATTAGCCCTACGACCCCTAAGCTTTCAAAAAAATATATATAGAAAAGAGCTCCAGAACTGTTTTTAAGCCCATCTCCGCCTAAATTTAAATAACTAAAGGACTTTTTTTTTTTCATTTTGGATAGAGTAAGGCAGGCCATAGATGGGTCGAAAATCGCCCGATTTTCAAACTGTTAATGGGTTAATTGGTCGGCCATTTTTCTGGATTTTGGCACTTTTTTTAATTGGTTAAGTTGGAAGAAAATTAGGCCAATTTTGCCGATCGGCCGATTTTCACCTCAATGATGGGCAAATTGGCCGATCTTTTTACCGATAAAAAAATCTGCGCATGAGCTGAGAGAAGAAGAAGAAGGAAGAAGAAGAGGGAAGAAGAAGAAGAAGAAGGAAGAAGAAGAATAAGAAGGAAGAAGAGGAAGAAAGAAGAAGAAGAAGGAAGAAGAAGAAGAAGAAGGAAGAAGAAGGAAGAAGAATAAGAAGGAAGAAGTAGAAGAAGAAGAAGGAAGAAGAAGAAGAAGAAGAAGGAAGAAGAAGAAGAAGAAGAAGAAGAGGAAGGAAGAAGAAGAAGGAAGAAGAAGACGAAGGAAGAAGAAGAAGGAAGAAGAAAAGTAAGAAGAAGAAGGAAGAAGAAGAAGAAGAAGAAGAAGGAAGAAGAAGAAGGAAGCAGAAGAAGAAGGAAGAAGAAGAGGAAGGAAGAAGAAGAAGAAGGAAGAAGAAGAAGACGGAAGGAAGAAGAAGAAGAAGAAGAAGAAGGAAGGAAGAAGAAGAAGAAGAAGAAGAAGAAGAAGAAAGAAGAAGGAAGAAGAAGAAGAAGAAGAAGGAAGGAAGAAGAAGGAAGAAGAAGGAAGGAAGAAGAAGAAGAAGAGAAGGAAGAGAAGGAAGAGAAGGAAGAGGAAGAAGAAGAAGGAAGGAAGGAAGAAGAAGAAGAAGAAGAAGAAGAAGAAGAAGTAGAGGAAGAAGAAGAATTCCAGTCGCTATTATATTTGACATGAAAAAGTCAAGTTTTTTTTGTTTTTTTACCATTTGTGTCCCATTGGCGAGATTTCTCTTCAGCAGGAACTGAGGGAATTCCCCACTGGAAGATTTCCCTTCTATTCCTGTTCTGGTGACAACTCAAAAATTTTTTAATTTCACCAGACAGAAAGTGAGAGGAAATCTGCAACAGGGACATAGACAGTAATAATAAAAAGTCTAAAGGGAAGTAGAGGTGTAGGTGCTGGAGATCTTTAATCATCAAAAGACATCATTGGTGGAGTGTGATGGCTTCAATTCGACTGATCTTCACTTGGGGGGAATCCCTCAAGTGAAGATCAGTCGAATTGAAGCCATCACACCCAAGTCAAAGGGGGTACCCAAATTGAGAAAATGCATGGGTGAGTCAGCCAAAAAGAGAGCCTAGTGACTCTCTCAAGAGCCCAAAGGTCCTTCATTAATATCACAAGTATGACAGGGACACAAAAAGGTATCGGAAATGGTTTGGGGCCAAAAACCAACTTCAACAGGGCTTGACCAATGGAGCAAAAGGTATCTATTGGACTTAAGGAATAGCTCCTGGGTACAAACCTTGGACAGGAGAAGAAGGTAATACGGTGATGTAGGGGACATGAACCTCCCTTCCTGTCAGAGTTTTGTACCCAGGAGCTATGATTGAAGTCCAATAGATACCTTTTGCTACAATGGCCAAGCTCTGATGAAGGGAGACTTTAGGCTCTGAAATGCATTTGATACCTTATTGGACTTTTGGGTACAATCCTCAGACAGGAGAAGGTTTTATGGTGAAGTAGGGGACATAACCATGAACTTTCCCTCCTGTCAGAGTCTTGTATCCAGGAGCTATGCTTCATGTCCAATAGATACCTTTTGCCAGATTGGCCAAGCTCTGATTAGGGGGGATGTTTGGCCCTGAAACGTGCTTGATACCTTTTGTGTTCCTATCATACATGTGATATTCATAAAGGGCGTTTGGACTCTGAAGCTGATCATTTGACGCTCTTCAGCACTTTAGCAGGAACCATCACAAAAATAAAGTAGATATCACTACTGGTGTTCCCGGAGAAGCTGCTGTATGATATAACCCCAACTCCGGCATAGTGAGTTTTGGGTGGACCTTCTTCAATCTAAAACTCTGAAACTGTCATGGAATGCTTCGGGGATTTTAACCGATTTGGACTCCTTGACCAAATCCTAATCTAACGCTTTCTGCTCTCTTTTCTTAAGCGACTGGGCACTTGCCGACTTTTCAAACCTTTTTTTCCCGGGTTCTGGGGTTTTATATCTTCTCCTCTCCTCTGGCCCCCTTCTAAATTTGTCTGAGCTGTAATTACAAAACTGAAATACTGTCCAATACCGATGTTCCACCAGCCAGGAAGTGTGGAAAATCTGTACCACAGACATAGGCAATTATAAAAATCAAAGAAGAGGTGGAGGTATAGGTGCTTACCTATCAGAAGAAGTCTTTGGTTGAGCCTGATGGCTTAGATTTGGCTGCCCTTCACAAAGTTGGACGCCCCCCAAGACAAAGGGGTCACCCAAGTTGAGAAATCATGGGTGAGGGAGGCCAAAAGAGCACCTAACAATCATTTTAAGAGCCCAAAAAGTCCTTCATTTTTATCCCAAGTATGACAGGGACACCAAAGGTATCTAATGTGTTTTGAGGCCAATTTCCCCTCTTCATCAGGGTTTGACCATTGGAAAGCAAAAGGTATCTATTGGACTTAAAGCATAGCTCCTGGATACAAACCTTTGACATGAGAAGAAGGTATTATGGTGATATGGGGACCATAACCATGGTATGGTCCCCACACAAAAAGTAACCGACATTTTTTGGGGCCAAAAACCCCTTCAATAGGGCTTGACCAATGGAGCAAAAGGTATCTATTGGTCTTAAGGCATAGCTCCTGGGTACAAACCTTGGACAGGAGAAGAAGGTAATACGGTGATGTAGGAGACATGAACCTCCCTTCCTGTCAGAGTTTTGTACCCAGGAGCTATGATTGAAGTCCAATAGATACCTTTTGCTGCAATGGCCAAGCTCTAATGAAGGGAGACTTCTCTGAAACACATTTGATACCTTATGTCTTCCTGTCGTACTTATGGTTTTTTATAACGGACTTGTGGACTTTTAAGCTGATCATTTGGCACTCTTTGGTACCAGGAACCCTCCCAAAAATAATGTAGATATCACTACTGGTGTTCTCGGAGACACTGCTCCATAATATGACCCCAACACCGGCATATTGAGTTTTGGTGGACTTTCTTCAAACTAAAATTCTAAAACTGTTAAGTAATGCTTTGGGGATTTTAACCAATTTGGACCCCTTGACTAAATCCTAATCTGACGCCTCTTGCACCTTTTTTTTTTATCACAACCATGACAGCTGATTCAACAGCAGGTGGGGGAGAGCTAGGACCCACCTTCAAAATAAAGTAGACATCACTACTGGTGTTCTCAGAGAAGCTGCTGCATGATATAGGCCCAATGTCGGCACATTGAGTTTTGGGTGGACTTCTTCAACCTAAAACTATTTCAAACTGTCAAGGAATGCTTCAGGAATTCTAACCGATTTGGGCCCCTTGACCAAATCCTAATCTAAGGCCTTTCATTCCCTTTTTTTAAGCGACTTGGCGCTTTTCAAACATCTTCTCACTCTCTGGAATTTTATATCTTCTCCTCTCCTCTGCCCTTTTCTAAATCTGACTGAGCTGTAGTTCCGTAATCCAGGTGCTATGCTTTAAGTACTATAGATACCCTTTTCCTACATTGCCAAGCCACGATGAAGGGCAATTTTTGGCCACGAAACACATTGGATACCTTTTGTGTTCCTGTTGTAGTTGTGATATCCACTAAAGGAATTTTGGACTCTTAAGATGGTCATTTGGTGCACTTTGGCACCAGGAACCCTCCCAAAAAACAAAGTAGACATCACTACTGGTGTTCTTAGAGAAGTTTCTGCATGATATAACCCCAACGCCACCACATTGAGTTTTGGGAGGACTTTCTTCAATCTAAAACTATTTCAAACTGTCTAGGAATGCTTCGGGGATTTTAACCGATTTGGGCCCCTTGACCAAATCCTAATCTAAGGCCTTTCATTCCCTTTTTTTAAGCGACTTGGCGCTTTTCAAACATCTTCTCACTCTCTGGAATTTTATATCTTCTCCTCTCCTCTGCCCTTTTCTAAATCTGTCTGAGCTGTAGTTCCGTAATCCAGGAGCTATGCTTTAAGTACAATAGATACCTTTTCCTACATTGGCCAAGCCACGATGGAGGGCAATTTTTGACCACAAGACACATTGGATACCTTTTGTGTTCCTGTTGTTGTTGTGATATCCACTAAAGGACTTTTGGACTCTTAAGATGGTCATTTGGTGCACTTTGGCACCAGGAATCCTCCCAAAAAATAAAGTAGACATCACTACTGGTGTTCTCAGAGAAGTTTCTGCATGATATAACCCCAACGCCGCCACATTGAGTTTTGGGTGGACTTTCTTCAATCTAAAACTATTCCAAACTGTCAAGGAATGCTTCAGGGAGTTTAACCGATTTGGGCGCCTTGACCAAATACTAATCTAAGGTCTTCCATACCCTTTTTTTTAAGCGACTTGGCGCTTTTCAAACGTCTTCTCACTCTCTGGAATTTTATATCTTCTCCTCTCCTCTGTACTTTTCTTAATGTGGTTGAGCTGTAGTTCCGTAATCCAGGAGCTATGCTTTAAGTACAATAGATACCTTTTTCTACATTGGCCAAGTCATGATGGAGGGCAATTTTTGGCCAAGAAACACATTGGATACCTTTTGTGTTCCTGTTGTAGTTGTGATATCCACTAAAGGAATTTTGGACTCTTAAGATGGTCATTTGGTGCACTTTGGCACCAGGAACCCTCCCAAATAATAAAGTAGACATCACTACTGGTGTTCTCAGAGAAGTTTCTGCATGATATAGGCCCAATGTCGGCACATTGAGTTTTGGGTGGACTTTCTTCAATCTAAAACTATTCCAAACTGTCAAGGAATGCTTTGGGGATTTTAACCGATTTGGGCCCCTTGACCAAATCCTAATCTAAGGTCTTCCATTCCCTTTTTTTAAGCGACTTGGCGCTTTTCAAACGTCTTCTCACTCTCTCTGGAATTTTATATCTTCTCCTCTCCTCTGCTCTTTTCTAAATCTGGCTGAGCTGTAGTTCCGTAATCCAGGAGCTATGCTTTAAGTACAATAGATACCTTTCCTACATTGGCCAAGCCCACGATGGAGGGCAATTTTTGGCCATGAAACACATTGGATACCTTTTGTGTTCCTGTTGTAGTTGTGATATCCATTAAAGGACTTTTGGACTCTTAAGATGGTCATTTGGTGCACTTTGGCACCAGGAACCCTCCCAAAAAACAAAGTAGACATCACTACTGGTGTTCTCAGAGAAGTTTCTGCATGATATAACCCCAACGCCACCACATTGAGTTTTGGGTGGACTTTCTTCAATCTAAAACAATTTCAAACTGTCAAGGAATGCTTCTGGGATTTTAACCGATTTGGGCCCCTTGACCAAATCCTTATCTAACGCCTTCCATTCCCTTTTTTTAAGCGACTTGGCACTTTTCAAACGTCTTCTCACTCTCTCTGGAATTTTATATCTTCTCCTCTCCTCTGTAGTTTTCTAAATCTGGCTGAGCTGTAGTTCCGTAATCCAGGAGCTATGCTTTAAGTACAATAGATACCTTTTCCTACATTGGCCAAGCCACGATAGAGGGCCGTTTTTGGCCACGAAACACATTGGATACCTTCTGTGTTCCTGTTGTAGTTGTGATATCCACTAAAGGACTTTTGGACTCTTAAGATGGTCATTTGGTGCACTTTGGAACCCTCCCAAAAAACAAAGTAGACATCACTACTGGTGTTCTCAGAGAAGTTTCTGCATGATATAACCCCAACGCCGCCACATTGAGTTTTGGGTGGACTTTCTTCAGTCTAAAACTATTCCAAACTGTCAAGGAATGCTTCTGGGATTTTAACCGATTTGGGCGCCTTGACCAAATCCTAATCTAACGCCTTCTGCTCTCTGGGCGTTCGCTGACTTTTCAAACCTTTTTCTCGGGGCTCTTGGGTTTTATATCTTCTCCTCTCCTCCGGCCCCCTTCTAAATCTGGCTGAGCTGTAATTCCGAAACTGAAATTCCGTCCATTGTGCGAGAAAAGCCTTTCTGCTCTGCTGAGCCAAAAGAAGATGGTTTTAACCGTCGCCCCAGGAGGTGCCGGGCTGTTTAAATCATAAAGGATGAGAGGCAGGCTTGAGACGGGGAGCAGCGGAACGCCGGATAATAGGAAAAGGACCGCAGGAACGTCAGAAAGAAAAGAACTGGACTCTGCCGGCGTTAACCCCTGTCGGCCAAGAAAGATCACGCTGAAAAGCTCAGCCGCTGCCTTAATTATAGTAAGTTGTGGCTGCTTTAAGTTGAACCGTAACTACTGGGTTTCGGAAAGTACGCTACATGGCCAACAGTATGTGAACCAGGGGCGGACTGACCTTTTGGAAACTCAGGCACTGCCCGAGGGCCCAGGGCCAGTAGGGGGCCCCATGAGATGCCCCTGGTACCTTTTTCATAGGCTTTTTTGAGTTTGGGCAAGGACACAGGGGCCCCATGATCCCCTATTGCCCGGGGGCCCCATGAGTTGTCAGTCCACCCCTGATGTGGACCCCCCTCCAGATGATGGGGTTCAGGTGTTTCCAATACAGCATGTAAAGACATTTTCTATACATAGCTTACCTCAACAGACGTTAAAGCCAAACTGTGACTTTCATTTTCAGGTTTTGCTCAACAGCCACAAAGGCTTTGTGTACACTAAACCCAGATATTACCTTCTAAAAGTAGTGCAGAGAGCAGAGCTGTAGGAGGAGTCCAGCAGCCTCTACAGGAAGCTAGAAGAGGGGGCGGAGACCAGACCAGTCACCTGGCACAAGGAGTGAGAGCAGCAGTGAGCGGTCTTTATTACAGGAAGCCTCACTCTGGATCACTGCACAGATCTGGAGGAAATGCTCAAAGTACACTGAGATTTGAGGAGGAAAACACATGAAGCATGGAGAGCTCCCTCTAGAGCAGAGGTCTCCAAACGTTCTAAACTAAGGGCCAGTTTACGGTCCTTCAGACTTGAGGGGGGCCGGGCTGTGGTCAGTGGGAGTAGAAAGTGGCCTGGTGTATGTGAGAGAGCAAACAAAGAGCAACCCCTGGTGCCTTAGGGAGGAATTGTGTCTCATTGTTGGTGTCATTGGGAATCATTTCCTGGGGTCAGTGGGAGGAATAGTGCCCCATCAGTGGTGTCTTAGGGAGGAATTGTGTCTCATTGTTGGTGTCATTGGGGATCATTTCCTGGGGTCAGTGGGAGGAATAATGCCCCATCAGTGGTGTCTTAGGGTGGAATTGTGTCTCATTGTTGGTGTCATTGGGAATAATTTCTTGGGATCAGTGGGAGGAATTATGCCCCTTTGTTGGTGTCACTGGATGGACAGTAAACTGGCCCTTTGTTTGTGCCCCAAGGGCACAAAGAAAGCCTTTTGTTGGTGTCAGTGGATGGAATAGTGCCCCAAGGGCCAGATAAAAGAAAGCAAAGGGCCGAATCCAGCCCCAGGTCCACAGTTTGGAAACCACAGGGGATCATTTATGATCAGGGGCGGACTGACCATATGAAAACTCGGGCACTGCTCGAGGGCCCGGGGTCAGTAGGGGGCCCCATGAGATGCCCCTGGTACCTTTTTCATAGGCTTTTTTGAGCTTGGGCAAGGACACAGGGGCCCCATGATCCCCTATTGCCCGGGGGCCCCATGAGTTGTCAGTCCGCCCCTGTTTATGATCTTTATGTTTCTTCAAGAAAAAAAAGGAAATGATGTAATGACTGGTTCTCTGTGGGTCATGGAAAGTCAGGCTGGGGAGGAAAGGAGGATTGGAGAGCCGGAGTACTTGGTGACGGCCTTGGTGCCCTCGGAGACAGCATGCTTGGCCTCCTTCGGGCAGGAGGAGGTGGATGGCAGTCTGGATCTCTCGAGAGGTGATGGTGGAACGCTTGTTGTAATGAGCCAGGTGTGAAGCTTCACCGGCTATGAGCTCAAAGATGAACCAGGGGTGGACTGATCATTCCGGCACTCGGGCACTGCCCGAGGGCCCGGGGTCTCTAGGTGGCCCCATGAGATGCCCTTGGTACCTTTCATAGGCTTTTTTGGGTGTGGTTTGAGTGTGGGCTAGGACAAAGGGGCACCATGATCCTCTAATGGCTGGGGGCCCCATGAGTTGCCAGTCCGTCCCTGAGATAAACTCAAAGGAGTTCATGATGTTTATGGCCTTGGATGAGATGTTGGTGTTGGGGTGGACTTGCTTGAGCACTTAGATAGCATAATTCTCCTTCCTGCTCTTGCCTTCTACCCTTCTTACTGTCCTTCTTCTGGCTCTTGGTCGCGACGTTTTTGGAGCCCTTCTTGGGTGCCGGGGCCGACTTGGCTGGTTCTGACATTCTAAGAGTCAGTTAGGGGAGGAAAGGGCCTAGACAATGTTGGATGTCGTCCAGCCAGGAAATGAGGTGGGTGTGGTTTGAGTGCGGGCTAGGACACAGGGGCCCCATGATCCTCTATTGCCTAGGGGCCCATGAGTTGCCAGTCCGCCCCTGAGATGAACTCAAAGGAGTTCATGATGTTTATGGCCTTGGATGAGATGTTGGTGTTGGGATGGACTTGGCTGGTTCTGACATTCTAAGAGTTAGTTGGGGAGGAAAGGGCCTAGACAATGCTGGATGTTGTCCAGCCAGGAAATGAGGTGGGTGTGGTTTGAGTGTGGGCTAGGACAAAGGGGCACCATGATCCTCTATTGTCCGGGGGCCCCATGAGTTGCCAGTCTGCCCCTGAGATGAACTCAAAGGAGTTCATGATGTTTATGGCCTTAGATGGGATGTTGGTGTTGGGGTGGACTTGCTTGAGCACTTAGATGGCATAACTCTCCTTCCTGCTCTTGCCTTCTACCCTTCTTACTGTCCTTCTTCTGGCTCTTGGTCGCGACGTTTTTGGAGCCCTTCTTGGGTGCCGGGGCCGACTTGGCTGGTTCTGACATTCTAAGAGTTAGTTAGGGGAGGAAAGGGCCTAGACGATGTTGGATGTCGTCCAGCCAGGAAATGAGGTGGGTGTGGTTTGAGTGTGGGCTAGGACACAGGGGCCCCATGATCCTCTATTGCCCGGGGGCCCCATGAGTTGCCAGTCCGCCCCTGAGATGAACTGAAAGGAGTTCATGATGTTTATGGCCTTGGATGAGATGTTGGTGTTGGGGTGGACTTGCTTGAGCACTTAGATGGCATAACTCTCCTTCCTGCTCTTGCCTTCTACCCTTCTTACTGTCCTTCTTCTGGCTCTTGGTCGCGACGTTTTTGGAGCCCTTCTTGGGTGCCGGGGCCGACTTGGCTGGTTCTGACATTCTAAGAGTTAGTTAGGGGAGGAAAGGGCCTAGACGATGTTGGATGTCGTCCAGCCAGGAAATGAGGTGGGATCTAACTGACTTGCTGCAGAAGCTCACAGTGAAATCAGTCCAGAAGAGGAGCCGGTACAACCGTGCCAGACTGAAGGGAAGACCCCCATAGGGGCTCGCTGAACACACGCCGCGCCGTCCCTTTAACTTGTTGCTGTTGTTGTTTGGATTTGGGGATAATGATTTACAGCGTGCGTCTCATTAATAAGTCAATTAACTGATTAATAAGACAAGCAGGGATGAAAGGGCTGTCTACAGGCTACACGCCTCCAGGTTATTAATTAAACCGCTGCTGTGCACATGCTGAATGTGGCGCGGGGGAAGGGTAACGTCTTATTAGAAATGTGGAAGTGGGGGAAGGGATAGGACAGTGCAGGAGGACTGAGTTCCTCCAACCTCTCTAAAGTTCCGTGAGCAGTTTAGTCCTCCATTGTTAGAACCAGATTTTTTTTTTTTTTGGTAGAGACATCATTTTGTTAATGCATAGGATAATTGTACTGCTCATGCACGCGTGACGTCACGCGCCCCACTGCGCGCAAGGTCTCCTGACTGAGAGGTGGGACACGTGCCATCATGCGGTTGCCCTAGGAAAGGTACGTCACCGGTGCCTCCCAGGGAGATCATCTTCCAAGCTCTTGCGGGATCTTGAACAGATGATCGTAATTAAGTGTGGCGCGCGACACGCAACAGGTCATGTGACGTCATGCTCTTCAGCTCATGTGTGAGCAGTATGATAATAATGTGAGGTCTAGGCAGGCTCCCCCAGTTTAAGGAGATCTGCCTAGGAGGAACTGGTGACGTAGCTTTCGAAAAGCTTTTTGGGCTATTTTTTTTTCTGGTCAAATGTTTTAGGGCTCTCGTTTTAGGCTATTTTCTCTTATGGTCGAATATACCTTGGATATTGTTTTAGGCTATTTTCTCCTCTGATCTAATGTTCTCAGGCTATTGTTTTGGACAATTTTCTCTACTTGTCAAATTTTCTAGAGCTCTTGTTTCAGGCTATTTTCTCTTCTGGTCAAACGTACCCAGAATATTGTCTTAGACTATTTTTTCTTCTGGTTGAATATTCTTAGGCTATTGTTTTAGGTTATGTTCTCTTCTGAGTGAATGTTGTTAGGCAATTGTTTTAGGCTATTTTCTATTCCGGTTGAATGTTCTTAGGCTATTGTAGGCTAATTTCTCTACTTCTCAAATTTTTTAGGACTCATGTTTCTGGCCATTTTCTCTTCTGGTCAAACGTACCTAGAATATTGTCTTAGGCTATTTTTTCTTCTGGTTGAATATTCTTAGGCTATTGTTTTAGGTTATTTTTCTCCTCTGGTCGAATGTTCTTAGGCTATTGGTTTAGCTTATGTTCTCCTCTGAGTGAATGTTGTTATGCGATTGTTTTAGGCTGTTTTCTATTCTGGTTGAATGTTCTTAAGCTATTGTTGTAGGCTAATATCTCTACTTGTCAAATTTTTTAGGACTCTTGTATGAGGCTATTTTCTCTGCTAGTCAAACGTACCTAGAATATTTTCTTAGACTTTTTTCTTCTGGTCGAATGTTCTTAGGCTATTGGTTTAGCTTATGTTCTCCTCTGAGTGAATGTTGTTAGGCGATTGTTTTAGGCTATTTTCTATTCTGCTTGAATGTCCTTCGGCTATTGTTTTAGGCTGTTATCTTCTCTCATCAACTGTTCTTCGGCACTTCTTTTAAGCTATTATCTATTCTGGCTGAATGTTTAGAGACTATTGTTTTAGGCTATTTCCTATTCTGGTTGAATGTTCTTAGACTATTATTGTAGGCTCTTTTCCATTCAGGCCAAATGTTTTCTTAGGCTATTGTTTTAGGCTAATTTCTATTCTGGTTGAATGTTCTCAGGCTATTGTTTTGGACAATTTTCTCTACTTGTCAAATTTTCTAGAGCTCTTGTTTCAGACTATTTTCTCTTCTGGGCAAATGTACCTAGAATATTGTCTTAGACTATTTTTTCTTCTGGTTGAATATTCTTAGGCTATTGTTTTAAGTTATTTTCTCCTCTCGTCGAATGTTCTTAGGCAATTGTTTTAGGTTATGTTGTCTTCTGAGTGAATGTTGTTAGGCGATTGTTTTAGGCTATTTTCTCTTCTGGTTGAATGTTCTTAGGCTATTGTAGGCTAATTTCTCTACTTGTCAAATTTTTTAGGACTCATATTTCTGGCTATTTTCTCTTCTGGTCAAACATACCTAGAATACTGTCTTAGGCTATTTTTTTCTTCTGGTTGAATATCTTCTTAGGCTATTGTTTTAGGTTATTTTCTCCTCTGGTCGAATGTTCTTAGGCTATTGTTTTAGGTTATGTTCTCTTCTGAGTGAATGTTGGTAAGCTATTGTTTTAGGTTAATTTCTCTACTTGTCAAATTTTTTAGAACTCTTGTATGAGGCTATTTTGTCTTCTGGTCAAATGTACTTAGAATATTGTCTTAGGCTATATTCTTAGGCTATTGGTTTGGCTTATGTTCTCCTCTAAGTGAATGTTGTTAGGCGATTGTTTTAGGCTATTTTCTATTCTGCTTGAATGTCCTTCGGCTATTGTTTTAGGCTGGTATCTTCTCTGATCAACTGTTCTTTAACACTTATTTTAGGCTATTATCTATTCTGGCTGAATGTTTAGAGACTATTGTTCTAGGCTATTTCCTATTCTGGTTGAATGTTCTTAGGCTATTGTTGTAGGCTCTTTTCTATTCAGGCCGAATGTTTTCTTAGGCTATTGTTTTAGGCTAATTTCTCCTCTGGTCGAATGTTCTCAGGCTATTGTTTTGGACAATTTTCTCTACTTGTCAAATTTTCTAGAGCTCTTCTTTCTCGCTATTTTCTCCTCTGGTCAAACGTACCTAGAATATTGTCTTAGACTATTTTTTCTTCAGGTTGAATATTCTTAGGGTATTGTTTTAGGTTATTTTCTCCTCTGGTCGAATGTTCTTAGGCTATTGTTTTAGGTTATGTTCTCTTCTGATTGAATATTATTAGGCTATTGTTTTATGTTTTTTTTCTCCTCTGGTCGACTGTTCTTAGGCAATTGTTTTAAACTATGTTCCCTTCAGATCGAAAGTTCTTAGAGTATTGTTTTAGACACATTTCTCTGTCTGTTTGAGGATATTTTCTCTTCTGGTCAAATGTACCTTGAATATTATCTTCTGATTGAATGTTCTTGGCTATTTTTTTAGGTTATGTTCTCTTTTGATTGAAAGTTGTTAAGCTATAGTTTTAGGCTATTTTCTCCTCTGGTTGAATGTTCTTAGGCTATTGTTTTAGGCTGTTGTCTTGACTGTTCTTGGGCTCTTCTTTTGGGTTATTATCTATTCTGATCGAATGTTTATAGACTATTGTTTTAGGCTATTTTCCATTCTGGTTGAATGTTCTTAGGCTGCTGTACGCTATTTTCTATTCTGGTCGAATGTTCCAAGGCTATTGTTGTAGGCTAATTTCTCCTCTGGTTGAATGTTCTTAGGCTGTTGTTGTAGGCTATTTTATATTCTGCTCGAATGTTCCAAGGCTATTGTTGTAGGCTAATTTCTCCTCTGGTTGAATATTCTTACGTTATTGTTTTAGGCTATTTTTCATTCTGGTCAAATATACCTAGGATATTGTTTTAGACTATATTCTCTTCTGGTGGAATGTTGTTAGGCTGTTGTTGTAGGCTCTTTTCTATGCTGGTCGAATGTTTTCTTAGGCTATTGTTTTAGGCTGTTGTCTGATCATCTGTTCTTTGGCTCTTCTTTTGGGCTATTTTCCATTCTGGTTGAATGTTCTTAGGCTGTTGTTGTAGGCTATTTTCTGTATGTGATAGAATGACAACCTTCCAGTTTCCTATGTGCTTCTCACTCACAATCTTCGTTATAAGAGGTGCGGGAAGTGTATCAGTAAGAAGTGCGAGAAATGCATTTGTTTCCACAATTCTTGATCCATTCATTCTCTCATGAAGGATTGAATGATGTCACATTGAATGAAGGGCCATGTATGTGATAGAATGACAACCTTCCAGCTTCCTATGTGCTTCTCACTCACAATCTTCGTTATAAGAGGTGCGGGAAGTGTATCAGTAAGAGGTGCGGGAAATGCATTTGTTTCCACAATTCTTGATCCATTCATTCTCTCATGAAGGATTGAATGATGTCACATTGAATGAAGGGCCATGTATGTGATAGAATGACAACCTTCCAGCTTCCTATGTGCTTCTCACTCACAATCTTCGTTATAAGAGGTGCAGGAAGTGTATTAGTAAGAGGTGCGGGAAATGCATTTGTTTCCACAATTCTTGATCCATTCATTCTCTCATGAAGGATTGAATGATGTCACATTGAATGAAGGGCCATGTATGTGATAGAATGACAACCTTCCAGCTTCCTATGTGCTTCTCACTCACAATCTTCGTTATAAGAGGTGCAGGAAGTGTATTAGTAAGAGGTGCGGGAAATGCATTTGTTTCCACAATTCTTGATCCATTCATTCTCTCATGAAGGATTGAATGATGTCACATTGAATGAAGGGCCATGTATGTGATAGAATGACAACCTTCCAGCTTCCTATGTTTTCCTTTCACTCACAATCTTCATTATAAGATGTGTGGGAAGTGTAACGGTAAGATGTGCGGGAAGGGTATTAGTTTCCACAATTCCTGATCCATTCATTCTCCCATGAAGGATTGAATGATATCACATTGAATGAAGGAATTGTGTATATAATAGAATGACAACCTTCTGACTTCCTTTGTGCTCCTCGCTCACAATCTGCATTCGGTCCATCAGTCAAATGTTAAGGCCTGCGATTTCACGTGACGCTCCCCAGGGTTCCAGGGGAAGTGGCCGCTGCTGATAAGGAGAAAAATAAATAGCCAGCCAAAGCCGTGTGTAAACAGTGCAGAGGAGAGGAGGCCAGTCCTTCCCACCTTCTCCTCCACAGAGAAGAGCGATAACTCGGCGGATTCG